GTGAGTAGGCTTCAAAACGATCATTCAATCTTTTTATAATAAATAAGGTCATCCTGATCCGAGGCAAATTAAAATTCATTTACATCTATAGTCTTAATCCAGATAGATCGACTTTTATAGTCCGGTCTTAGATCGGGTATACAATCTCGATTATTAACTAACTGTTTGACTTAACCTGTACTTTGTAACTTCCTTAGTTTTATTTACGTTCTATCATTTAAGTATGCTACCACTAAAACAAGAGATGAAAAGGAAGAAAAATTCGAACTTTAATACAAGAAAAAGGCTATTTTAATAAAAATAAAATGAGATAGATTAGTGCGTTTGAATTGATGGATTAATGAGAAAACGCGTGGATGGAAGGACTTAGACTTGCACATAAATTGAATTTTTCTCATTGAGTAGGTAAGCACTTATTCTTTATATTTTGGATGCCAATCAGGCGAATTATGGTTAAGTATTCAAAATAGAGCACCTTTATTCCGCATTTATTTTATATCAGCTTATGTGCGATGCAGTTGTTTCCATTTATGATAACTTTGGTATATCATTCCTATCAGCCAGTCCTGCGGCTACCTCTGTAGCTGAATCTATAGCTGCGGTTACTGCCTCGACTCCCAGTGCTATAGCCTCATCTCTTTCCTCGGTGGCATGTGCTCTCGTGGCTAACTGGAATGCCTCGGTACCACAACAAGACTGGCGAAACGACTTTTCCTGCGGCAGTCAAGACAAACAAGGGGAGACTGCTGCCGACTTCGGTAATAATGCTCGTGCGAATAGCAGCAAATGGCTTTCTCCAGTTGGAGAAAATATTTATCAAGGAACTTTGCCATTCGAGCCGCAGGCTTCCGTGAAGATGAATCGTGAATCAGAGCAATTAGACAGGTATTGCATTTCATTTCATTTTGTATTCTTAATACACTTAGCAAATTATCTATCGGCTACCGCTAGAAGATTTGCTTCAGCACAGCTTGTTGGCAGGGCCTAGTGATTTGAGACGGTTATGGTTCTGCTTATTGGCACTGTTAGATTGCTTTTCTCTTTTGACGTTACTACTGCGTCGTTTCCTGACGGATACCATTTTACCCTTAAGTTGTATTTTACATTTTAATAATTTACTTTAAAGTTTAAACTAGGAACTACCTGAGAAGAAATTGGTTTAAAAATAATTCATCTTTTTTATTTTTGTCTAAGGTTAACAAATAGTTTTAACTTCCTAATTTTGAGACAGTTTGGACTAGTCCTCTTACTTTAACTGCCACTTATCCAGCTCCAAGTATAGTTCCATTATGATGTGGTTTGATAGTGCATTGACCGAAAAATGTATAATCTGGGATAAGATCTCATGCTGGAAACTCTTTATAGGGTTCGTTTATTCTGAAAATTTATTTTGACCAATCTTTTTCGAAGCCTCTGGTATCCTTGTCTATACTCAATTCGGAGATCTGCCCAATTACTGGACCAAATGGTGCTGATAGTAATTTGCGTGACTCAAAATACTTCGACCTGAGCATACCGAGACTTAAAAGCATATTTAAATTACTCTATAAGATCATTTAGCATTCATTTATGAGAAATAAGGTCAAGTGTCTCTTGATTCACTTTGGGTAGATACAATAACAAATAGTGTATGGCCTTAGGTCTAGTCGCAGTCTCCTTTAGCTGTATAGAGTTTGTTAGTCCCCCTTTTCGCAACTTGCTTGGGCGATTAGGAGACTTTGTAGGATGTATCCAATCCTGCGACATTGGTCATACAAGTACTGATAACTTCCAACCAACTTACCCAAAAATATGACGTTAGTATACCTTTCATTTCGAGGTGAGTGGAGAAATTTAGGTTATACAAAGTATGTAGTATTGGAACCGGTGTGAAAGTAAGCTAAGGATTTATTTGCACAAATCAACATTCACAGCTCCAAGATAACCCTGCCTCGACTTCTGATGAGACCACCTTTCGAATCCCTTCCACAAAATGAAATGTATACCAATATCACTCTACTACTTAAATTATATGGATATATTAGGGATTAAGGTCCCTAGCTCTCAGATTAGTATTGACCTGATCTTTACTCTCTTTCACTAAGTCACTTGTCTGTTGGTGAAATCGTAGGAATGCAGATAATCCTTCACCTAAATTACTTGAATGAGTTAAAAAGAATGGCTGAAATACCCTTGAGCAGTCCACTTCAAAATAAGTTGTTTAATCTGTGCGTAAATGAATCACCTTAATACACAAATACGAAGCATTTTCTCAGACTCATTTTG